GATAAGAGTTGCATGAGCCCCTAATAAAACGATTAAAATTTAAAAAAGATTTTAAAAAAGAAAGCTGTGTTGATGAGAAAAAGGGCAGCAAAGTTGTACTGAGAAAGTGTTTTCTATCACAATGCACTTGCTCATTCTTCACGAATAACCAGGGATGCTGTAAGAGACTTTCACTGGGACACCTTACCCATCCACACCACAGCCCGGACCTTCCCCTCAGACTTCTCCTTGTTCCTCAAACCCAGAGAACATTTAAGATGAAAACAATGATAGTCCCCCAACAATGCCAACCTGCCATTTCGATGTAGTATAAATCAAAGACTACAGACTTCTCCCAGAAAGGGTTAGAGACATGGGAACACCCCCTTAAGAAGTTTGTAGATCTAGATGGAGGGTAGTTGAGAGACAATAGCTTCATACTTTGATATTTTTGCTTAATAAAAATGTTTATGACGTCGTAAGAATACATTTTTGACACATGCATACCATATCACTTACTGCCATTGCGTCAATACTGACTCAGAGCCAATGCTGACTCAGCGATGCCCTGTGGGTTTCTGAGACTGTAACTGTTTATGGGAGTAGAAAGCTCAGTCCTCCCACGGAACTGCTGGTGGTTCTGAACTGCCAACCATGTGAATCGCAGCCCAACACGTATTCACTACACCACCAGGGCTCCTGACATACACAAATAGATAATACATTATACACACATAGAGGTTATCTCAAGGAAATAATTCAAGCATTTGGGGCAGGTGGGCAAAGCCCAAATCTGTAGAGGCTTTTCCTGACTCACATGGTTGCAGGGTCTGATGAACTTACAATTGGTAAGTCAAATGACAGGCTGTTGGCTTATAGGTCTGCAGAAGCTGGTGGATCCCAGAATTGGCAGGCCAGACAGCAGGCTACTAGCTCAAGTCCCAATACTCAGAGGTTAGGTGATGAGGAGCTAGATGTTGGATTCAGAGCAAGGGAAAGCCTTGCCAAAGCATGTGTATATGTATGTATATAGGGTATGTGTATATGTACAAGGTCACACTCCCGAGGAAATTCTCCTTGCACCAGTAAAGGTGTGACTTGTGTAAGAGTGTGATCAGGTCACACCCTCTTTTAAGGCTGTTAACTCAAAATACACCCCACACCAGTCCTGCATCTTGAACGTGTATGGACATTAGGATTTACACAGCACATAAAGTGGAAGATAGGGTGGACATTGGAGACAGGGCATGGTGCCCCAACAGGCTAGACTGGAAAACACAAGCTTTTCTTGCTTGGTATATTTTAATTTGTTCTTCATCAGTGGATTGATGTTGTTGCTGTTTTGTTGTACATTGTTGCTTGGTTTTGCTCTGTCTTGTTTTTATGCATGTTGTCTCCGCAGGCCTGTCTG